CGTGCTGGCTGGGGAATTCTGGGAGTTGGAGTCCACACATCTTAAAGGCGCCAAGGTTGAGAAACACTGATCCATGGTATCAAAAAATCAGAAGAAATCTGGTAGCACCTTTTCTGACGAACCAATTTTATTCAAAGGCAGAAGTTTTCGTGAGCTGCAGCCTTTGAATAAAATTGGTTTTGGGGAAAAGGTGCTACCAGATTCCTTCTGATTTTTTGCTTCTGTGATCTGGACTCAGGGCTTTTGTTCATGCAGCCCAACATTGCACTGTCCATTTTCGCTGCTCCAGCCCATTATTTGTTTGCGTTCAGCTGGTGATCCACCCAAGCTCCCAGTTCTTTCTGCCAAAGCAGATTTCCCCACTCCTGCAGTGATGCATCGGGTTTTTCCTATCCAGATGCAGGTCCTTAGACCTTCAGAGTTGAACATGGTCTTGGGGACCTGGGGATTCAGGGCGTTGCAGCCCCAACAGATGTGGAAGCCGCCAGACTGGGAAATGCAGGGTTACCTCAGCTCATGCTTTCTTTGAAGGCGTGGCGGTTTGAAGTCTCATCAGGTACCTGTCTCTGCCAGAGTAGACAAGAAAGCTGGTTCAAACTCCAATCTGTGAAATCTTTCCTGGGGGTTTAACACCCTCAGCCTTGAACACTTCTACACCCTCTCCTCAGATGAAACCCCGCAGTCTGTGGCTGTTTCTCCAAGAAATGTTGAGCGAGAGACACTTTCCTGCTTGCCTCCAACCTTTGGCAAAAGAATCTAGCTGCCCGCTTCAGAAAAGTTTAGCCCCCAGAAACCACCCCCTCGTCGAGCAGCCTTGTTGCAAAATCTTATCAGCTGCCCGGTCAGTTTCTCAGAGCAGTTGGTGGGGAAAAATAGAGACGAACCGTTTGAATGTGGAACATTGCTACAGAAACAGATTGTCATGACGGAGAGTCCCCCATGCAGAATGGTGGGATCCTGTCCAGGGGCAGGGTGAGGAACAGGACCTGGGTACACCTTGCAGTTTAAATCAGTCTAACTTTTTTCCTTCTGCAGCAGCACCCTTTGATCTCACAGGCTGAAAATATAACACAGGTTTGCGTTTGCTGTTGACCCCACGGGGAATAAAACACTTTCGCTAGCAGAAGCACGGGAGAAATCAGCTGCGAGGCCAGAGGGAGAAGAACAAAGCTACGAAGGGAGGGGCAGCGTACGGTGCACGCTTCTGACGATTATGGCGCACTCTTTCTCATTCCTTTACTTGTTCAACACAAACACTGCAGGGCTGCGGTGGTTAAGCAAATTGGCGAATTAATGTATATTGGATTTGCAATCCCTTGTTTGTCTTCTCCAAGGGAATTCTGGGCTCGGTCCATTGGCAGGATACCAGTTGCGTGCAGATTAGGTGATTTGGGTTCAGTTGTGTGTAACTTGCGTGTAGATAAGACAACACGCGTCATGATGGGTTGCTCAGGAAAATTTTAAAGGGTGATGTAGGGGAAAAACCATGAATGTGCCAATAAAATAGACACAGACCTT